TGCCTTGTTCCATTAATAACAAAATTTTCGATACTTTGACAGATTGGTAAACATCATCCGGCAACCGGTAAAAAATGTTGTGGGTTCCTGCTGTATTACTCATTAAAAATTTGCGAAACAGTCGCTAAATGTTTTCTTAAACGCGTGGATATTAATGCATCAAAACATTTAGCGCCACTGTCTTTTGAATATTTTGCAAATATTTTATAGACAACAATATGGTTGTTGCTATCAGGAGGAGCGAAAAGAAACGGATTTGTTTGGGCTACTACATTAGTCCTAGCCTCTTTTAATACAGTTATGTCTTCTTGAACATCTGAACTAAAGAGAACAGGTACCCCTTTGTGTCTTTTTCCCTGAATTACGATTCTTTTAAACCGTTGCATTAAAATCTTTTCAGTCGGAATGTTTATTCTTCATAGTTCTGTTGCTTGTTTTTTGATTGACCGTAAGTATCCATCAACAATCTTTCCGCTCTCCTGGTCGTCTCCGGTTAGGTTATTGTATTGTTTGTTATATAATATTCGGGACATTTTTTTTTAATTCTTAAAATTTTTATTTTCCATAATTTGCAATTCAACGCCATCACAAGGTCGTTCCAATAGTTCTACAACGCCAGGTTGATCAGTCCTGCCATTATTAAAATTATTAACATCTTGCTTGGATTTAGCTGATTGCACCCTTGTCATTACAAAAGCTTCTTTATCTTTCGACATATTTTTTAACTCGTTTGAGCTAATTTCTATGCGAGATAATGCATCTGCCTTTACGTTTTCTGTGCCCTTTACATAAAACACATCAAAATCGTATTCTTCTATTTTTAGTCTAAATTTAGTTAACCTACTGGATGGATTTGCCATACCAAATAAATAAATTAATGGTCTATGGTCTGTCAAAATAGAGAAGACTCTATTATAGAGGTATGCTCTAAATTTAAAAATAGCTCAGATCAATAGCCAGTTATTCTTTTTCAATTACAGCATAATTTCTTTTAACTTTGTTTAATACCCTACTAGCATATGCTATTGGTTTATGATTTCCATTTGACAGTGTCGCCCTAAGTGCTATTCCGGAGGCATCTGTCCTCAATATAAATTTATTTTGTTCCGAAAAGTCAGGAAATTCTAAAATTGGAGGACTTACTAAAGCTGATTTTAATTTTTTAAAAGAACATTGACATTAGACCAATTAAATATAACTCCTTTTTTTGATAATTTATTAAGGGGCACAGCCAGTTCCGCAAAATTTTTAATGAATTTTCTATAGTAATTTGCAAAAGCAACAAATCGTTTTGTTTCACCGGAATTTTTAGGTACCGGATAATTCAGCATAACATTTATTTTTTTAGGATCTGGCGCAACACCCTTTTCAGACATTTCATGTCCTAAATAGTTCTATTTTTCAAAAATTCACATTTTACTGGATTTAACTTAAGGTTTACCTTTACCTTTACCTTTCTTAGCCTTTCTAACACTTTGATTAAGTTTTTATTATGTTCCTTTAGATTATTACCAAATATAATTAAATCATCGAGATAAATAAAACAAGACTCATAATTTAATCCCGACATAGCTAACGTCATCACTCTAGAGAAAGCATTTGGAGAAATTTTTAGCCCCATGGGTAACCTGGTCATCTGATATTGTGCTCTATCAGTTGTAAATGCGGTAAAAGACCTAGATTCTCGATCTAACTCTAGCTGATAGTAATAACCTTGATATAAATCTAAATGTGAGAAATAATTTGCACCTGATAGAGTCTAATATTTCATCAATATTAGGTAAGGGAAACCTATCACATTCAATTTTGTTATTAAGTTGTCTATAATATATAACAACTCTCCATTGGTTTTGTTGATCAGTTCCCTTTTTCTTAACGATTAAAATAGGGGACGACAACTCAGATGCTATGATACCTTTTCTTAACATTTTATCTGATTATGAATCTCATTTTTTTTTGCGAATAGGGTAATCTATAAATAAACTCTATACATATGAAGGAGTTGTCCCGTTTTTCAAATGAATCTTTTGTTGAGAAATGTTAGAAACGTTAAAGGGATCGTTTTCGATATAAAATGTATCTGCATATTTTGCACAAATTTTATCTATTGACAATTTCTCCTCTTTATTAAGAGTTTTAGTATTTATTGTATTTAATAACATGTCTACTCTGTCTACCGTTATAGGTACCCTACTAAAAGAATGTACATTATAAGAAAATAATTATTCTATTTTCGGATTAAAATTCTTTAATTTAATTTCCCTATCGTTCGTATTTAAAATACGTATCGGAATTTTATTTCCAATTTGCTTGACTACTGTACTAGCGCTCATTACTCCGTCACCAATTGCCTCTGAAATTGCAATATATTCCTCTGAATGATTAACATTAAAATACTTAAGAATTTCGCACCTAGCAGGAATAATAGTACATATATTCGTCACAATCAGCGTACAACGGTATTTCTATTTTTGCATCTTTTATTACAAGTGATAAAAAAAATTTTCAAAATTCATATTAGCTTTATATTTAATAAAAATATCTCTTCCGATTACACCGTCAATTTCACTTGAGAATTCATGTAATACCGAAAATTCACGATTCTGCTTATACCCATTGTGTAGGTCAAAATTAACATTGCAAGTTCACGCTGTATATGCTGATCCTGCAATGCCTTGTATTTTTACTGTTCTATTTTTATTTATATCACTTTCATTTTCTACACATCTACTAAAAATGACACTCAGTGACGCACCTGTATCAATTAAAAATCTTAATTCCTTATTGCAATAATCTACTTTAATAAAATTTTACCCATTCATATTAAATAAAAATTCAAAATTAGTGTTCTCAAAAAAACTGCATATTTTCCCGATTTTCTAATTGTTGATTCTCAGTTTGTACGTTATTCGTCATAAAGTAGCCATTATGCTGAGGGGAATTATGTCTGTCAGCCCTAAAGACTTGTGCTCCTTTGTTTCCTCTACCTGAATTATTATTATGAATACTTCTTCCTCTATTATTGTAATGGGTGAAATTATTATATCTATAGTCATTATTTCTAGAATCAAAGTTGTTTCTATTGCTATTTCTAAAATTATTTCTGCCTCGATGGTTAAAAGTATTGCCTCGTCTAATATTTGAATTACCTCGCATGTGGAAAATTTGCGAAGGACCTGTTTTTCTAATCGTTTCTTCATCTCTAGCCCCTACTATAGCATTTGCTAAACTATTATAATTCCTAGCCTTAATAATAGTTTTAATTTGCTTATCCTTAAGCCCATTAGTAAACACATTAGTAGCTATTTTTTCATTCACAACTTCACAGAGACCTTTCCAAAGCACTTTCTTTCTTCTGCTTGAGCTAATGATAAATTTATCATTAAATCTTTAACTTTTTTCCAAACGTTTCTATAGATTGTTTTGCCTTAAACTATGTAACTCTACAGATAGTGCCGCTACTGACTTTTTAGTAATTAACTTATCCCTAATATCTCTAATAAGCTCTTCATTAGAAGCATAATTTTGTATAAGTCTAAGCTTTGCGCCTTGAGACAATCGTGCTTTTAATACATATTTAGTTAGCATTTTTACCATTAGCGTCTAAAAAACTGTCAATTGCATCGATAAGTATTTTTATGGATGACTCAGTATCATCCATAAGGGAAATTAAGCCAGAGGCTGTTTTTAAATTAAATGCTTCAGCCATTTCTCCTATTAACGAATCACTACTTTGAATTTAAAATATTCTATTTTCTAAAATTTCCTTAATACTACTAATCAATTTAACTGTACCATCTACAATAGCTTTCGCTTTGGCTTTAATGTCTATATCATAATTACCTTCGTTAACTGTATTTTTAACCAAAGAAGATTCAGCCTCTATACTATTTAACTTATCTAAATATGTGTTAATTTTTTCTAAATTATTACGCCTCTCTCTATAGGATCTTTGCTAAGATTCCTTGAAAACACTCTAAGGTCTTCATAAATTTCTTTAAATGATTCTAGTGACATTTATATGCAATACGTATACAAAAAAATGGTAAAATAAATATTACTTACATACATTATTATATATTATAAAATCAAAAGAAAAATTTGTTACATTTTATACATTTTTTTTTTTTTTTCGTTCTTCAATAATTCCATATAGCAACTGTCCTTATATTAAATATTAATTTTTTCATTCTTTCTTCGCCTAAAATGCCTAAAAAAATAATATTCTCTTCTTTTAAACAATTTCCTGGAACCTAGATATCTCTCGTCTAATTTTTTATTTCAACGGCCTTTCTGCATCGCTTGTACAAAACTACTCCAATAATAATTGCAACAGCTCCCATAATTTCAAATGCCGAAACATCACCATTGCTTGTTGAATCAGAAACACCACCACTATTTCCGGCTTGTGTAATAATCACCTCTTCTTTTGACTGATTAGCTCCAGCCATTAATAATTAATAATTATTGTGACATTCTTAGTAACTACAGTTAAGCTATATTAAACTATATGTCCATTATCAACTAGTTCTTGAGTGGCAGGATCGCCATGTGATATTCTCGTAGTTATTTAATAGTTGGGTTTTTATAAAGATATTCGATTAATAAAAACCAATCGTTCAATTGTAGGTATAATTTTATTGTTCAAATTCAAAACCCAAAAGGAATGCACATACAAAATATTGTTGATATAAACATAATTTGTCTAAAAAACAAACCAGTATGAATTACTTAACCTTTTTAAATAGAATATAAATACAGGGTGATATTTGCATATAACAAAATCACTTAGTTATAAGGAAGAAATAAAATAGATAAAAAAATTTAAAGCAGTTTATTTGTTTTTTGCTCTATTTTAGACATTTTATTAATAAATATGGTCTTTGAGGTTAACAACCCTTTTCTTTTGGTATTTACCGCTGTAATTGTTCCAGCCAGTTCTTTTATGTTTGATTCCAGAATTTTGCATTCAATCTGTTTTTCTTCGAGTTAAATTTTATTTAAGCTATTTTTTGATATTCTATTATGTATTTTTTATAAACTTCGTAATTCTCTTGATGGGAATTAATAAAAGTAGCATATTTTTCATCGAAGTTTTTGTCAATCTGGTGTACGGTGTACAATACACATTCGTGGGGTTTTTGAAGTTTTTTACCTTTCTTGATTGGAGTTGTTGTTTTCGATGTCTGGTTCGCCGGTGTCGGGGTCGGAGATGTTGACGGCTGATCTGCTGTTGAGGATGTTGAAGGCTGTTTTTCTGGTGCGATGAAGTAGTTTAGTAACCTGGAAGGATGATCTATTGATGTGGGGGTTGAAGATGTTGACGGCTGATCTGGTGTTGCGGATGCTGATGGATGTTTTAATGATGAATGGTCTACTGTCGAAAAAAATTCATCCGTTCTAAAAAATTCCTGAAAATAATGAATTATTACTATTATTTAATAAATACGTTTTTATTTCTAGGTTCGTTTGTCTGCTAAAGAAGGTTATTTACACTTTAATAATGATAAACTTTTATTTTTCTTTTCTAAAATTTATTCTCAATAACTATAGAGAGGCGACCGTTCAGTCATTCTTTACCGCGCAACAATATGTATGCGTTGCCGCATAGTAAACAATGGCAATACGCTTCCGGGACGACTTACAGATGATGGTGCCATTTGACTTACAGGTGAGGAACACTCCACCCACCATCATTTTTTAAATATATATTAATAGTATATTTTGTAGTAACTTAAACCGTTTCCGAGTTAGAAGGTCTCATAGTTGGAAAATATTGATTTCATAGTATGTTTCATAACAATAAATACTAACATACTAAATAAAATTCTACTGGAATTCAAAAAAAAAGTTTATGTTAGTACATAGCATAATTATAAAAAACATTTAAACATCATAAATATCAGAGAATATTTATAGTTTCTATATTGATTACAAACAAGAACCTTAATTGTGGCCCAGTGCTTATTGGAAAATATTTTTTGATATTGATTTTTAAAATCAGTCACTTCCTTGAGTTTTGGCGGGACTTTATTTTTATCTGCTTTTTCTGTAGTCTCCTTCATCTAAACCTTCTAAATGTGATGTACACTTCTTCATCACTTTCATCTTCTACCACCATGTCATTAATTTGAATATCTTCTAGTCGTTTTCTCTTATATTTTTTTAACTCGCATTGTATTGAAAGAAGTAGTAATTTACTTTCTTTAGCCGTTTGGTAAACGTCATCGGGCAAACGATAATATTCCTCATGTGTTTTGCTTGTATGTCCCATAAACTTTGCTAGTTCTAAGTCGTTCCTTTCCATATTAAATATTTGAGTTAGTTATTGTTGCAAGTTGCTTACGTTATTTAGTAGATGTTGAAAGTATTGCTCTCTGTACAACCTTTATCGCGAGTTTAGCATGTTTTCTCATGCATACATATATACTGCAATGGGATTTTTGGTTTCAGGAAAAATGTCAAGTAGAACGAAAAGTTTATTTTTAAAAAATATTTTATTTGATTAATTACAATTAACCCCGACAATATTAAAATATTACGATATGAATACTTTGAATGTTAATTACTGACTGACTGCAAGACTATTCTAAAAGCAAGAGTGAGATTAAATTGAGATATTTAGAGTTTCATCTTCTCAGCATATTACAATTGGCTTCTGTAGTAGAGGGTGATATAATTCCTCCCCCCGAAGATTCAACTTCCGAGGGCTGCAAGCTAAGGAAGGTGAACGGTTTGAAGATCCATAGGTTCTGGGTCCTTGTGGAACTTTCTGGAAACTTGGAGTCTCTTGTACAACAAATAAATTGTAATCACTATTAATATACAATAAATTAATATTGTCCATACACTAGGTTTATGCGAAATTAGTTTGTTTTCTAAATTAGGATTATTTTTTATAATTTCTCTTAAAGTTTGTAGTTCATCTAAGTCGATTTTCCTAAACTAAAGTTCGAGGGTTCACTCGCGAACACATTTTGTTTAATTATTGTTTCTGGAAAATGTATTGGTTGGCTTTCAAAGTTTATTGGTCCATTATTAGAGATGATTTCTGGGGCAGTGATGATTTGACAGGTTGCGGGAATTTTGGCTAAATAGGGTAGTTATTTCTACTTGATTATGACATCTTAATCTTATATTGACCTTTTCTGGAAAAATCAAGATAAATTGGTTTGATTCTTCTAACCTTTTAAATGTAGGTTGTGAAACGGTAATCGGCATCTGGTGGCAAGAAGCTGTAGTTTTGAAGTCTAAGAGTTGGATTTCGCAGGGGTCATTCGTTCCGCTTTCTTTAAGATTGATGTCATCGCAAATATAATTTTGGCTAGCTAGATTTACGGATGTGTCGCTCATGAATGCAAAGTACAATTCGTTTATTATAACAAATTTATTTTCTGGAATAATCACCTTACTGACTCTCACTCAATATTGGTATTGGATAAAAATGAAATAAATTTAATTCAATTGGAGACATTATAGGTATTTGTAAAATATAAGTAATTTTGTTGTTTAGTATTTAACAGGATATTTTTCAAAAAGGAATGTTTTATTTAAATTTAATTCAATGGGTATTTGATTTTTCTTAAGGTTTTTATATATATTTTCTAAAATTTTATATAGATTTAGCAGTTTTTATAATACTAGGGTGCATAATACCAATTTTTGCGAAAGAAATTGAATTTTCAATATTTCATACATGTTTAAAATTTGAAGTAGGATATCTTTGATAAAAATACTACTCGCACTATCAGCTTGATTTTGAACGATCATTTCTATTGTTTTTATTCTTGCTTCCAGCAAATTTTCATTATGGTTAATTTGTTGATTGGTAGAATTAAAATTGTCAATTAAAGAGATTGCTAGTGAATTTTGTGTTTTAATAGTATTTGAAAGTTTGTTTTGATTTTGTTGAAGTTGCTGAATAAGTCCTTCGTAATGTTCTCCGTCGTTGGCATCCAAATTTCCACTTTGACATTTGAATATTGATCCAAGACCATTAATTAGGCCTCTTTTAATTTTTTTATGAATGCCATAATAGTTCAGTTATTTTGCTGTTTAATTTATTTTCTGCGAATTTTAAAATCTTAATGTAATTGGATATGTCTTCGAAAAATTCGCTATTTTTCTTTATACATTCAATTGTATGTTCCGATTTAAATTTTAGTTTTTTGAATTCATTAATTATAAAATTTAGGTCATAATATATGACAGAATGATAGTATTCAGTTACTTTTGCAGTGCCGAGTTTCACTGGTAATAAGCCGGGATTATTTTGAAGATTTCGTAGTGTAATTATATCCTGTAATCCGATGATTCCAGGCCATCTGAAATAATAATTAATCATCAAAAGAATATACTTTTCTTAGAGGGCGTTTAACCCGGCGGTAGTCGCGCCCCTATTTTGAACACATTTGGTCGCGTCGAATCTGAGAGACCCACTATCATAAAAGGCATTCACAATTAGATTTTGTTTATATTAATTGAGGGATATAAATAAATTGTTTTTTTGTAAAATAACTTTATTTATAGCAATACACTTGTTTTTATAAAAGAAAATGAGATCATTTTTCAAACAGATCAAATTGCAAAAAAATTAATTGAGCTTCAGAACCTAATTTCTACAAATACAATTATATTAAAATGCTTAGCTACATACAATATCCCTAATTTTATGTCAGATATTAATTGTTCTCTTTATTCACCTCATCAATAAACGCTTCTGTTTCACATTCCTTACAATAAATATTTGCATGGCTTAAGCACAAATATTTGTAGCAATTTTTGCAATAGTAACTTGTCTTACTATCTGACTTGATGCATTCTTCACATCTTTTACGTTTTCTATCTTCTGGACGTGGCCTTTGCTCTTGAGAAATTCCTGCAGCCGCTTGTCTACGATTTTTAATATGACGTGGCAAATTGGTAAAACTTGCCCTGTATTTCTGGTAATCAGCTACAAGCTCACGGACCAATTGCATTAAAAATTTTCTTCTTATTACATTCATATTTGGGTTATTTGATAATATAATATGAGAATTTATTCCTGCTATATTTAGTAATGAATATAGTACAACCATGGGCCACCGTTTTGTGTTTAGTGCACAGTTATAGTTAGCTGATAACTCATCCACAACATCAACTCCTCCTTTCGTTGCTTTGTAAAATGTAATAATGCTCGGTTTTTTACGATCTCCAGTATTAGGGTCAATTTCGTCATCAAAATGCATACTGGATACCAGCAAAACGTTTTTTCCTTTCCCTGGTACGTAAGACACAAGAGTTTTCTTTTTTTGGAAACCAAAGATACTTGAGTTGACTTTACGATTCTTTGTGTTGACAAATTCTGGCGGTAACTGTCTCTTGTTTTTTCGGATTGTTCCAACGAGAGTTAAATTGTGATGTTCTAGGAGTACGTCAACTAATTCGCAACTTGTAAACCAATTTTCTACAGTAATGTTCCTGCCTGTTTTTGATATTGGCTCAATCAAACGTAAAACTATACTCTTTGGATCGTTACTTTGTTTGAATTCTCCGTCTGGTTGCTGACCCACATAAACCTCCAAGTTACAGACATAATACATTTTTGCATCGACCAATGCAAAAATTTTGACTCCATATTTATTCGGTTTTGATGGTATGTACTGTCTAAAGCTGCAACGGCCCCTGAATGCTTCTAATTTTTTATCAATTGTTGCGTACTCTGATATTGTGTAGTTATTTTTACAACTTTGCACAAATTTATCAAATATTTGACGTATAGGTGCCAATTTATCATGTTGACGGCGTTCATCTCTGGTTTGTTTGTCATCAGTACGTCAACCAAAATAAATCTCTTCCAGTCCCATCACGATTCCAAAGGTCTTCTGTATTTAATCTACTGCTCTTATGTATGCCAGCTAAGTATAGTAGTCCCAGAAGAGCTTTTATTTCTCTTAGATTGGTGGGGCTTGCATCTCTGGAACGCTGATAATTTTCAGAGATTGTTTCCACATATTTGTTAGTATTCTCCACAATGGTTGAGAGCATTTCTTCATCAAAAAATAGGTTCCAGCATTGTAAAGGTGTTTTTGCATTCTTAGCAACTCCTTTTAAACCTGGAAGATGCAAAACAATGTTTTCTTTGGCGGTTCGCACTCGCTGCGAGCATGGTTGTTTGTTCCACCTTGTACCATCTTTACCAATCAAAACTGGGTCAGCGGGTTCTTCTTCAGCTGCACTATCGCCTTCTTGCTCACTTTCTGAATCTTCTCTGATCTCAATACTATCGTTATCCTCACCATCTTCTTCGTCATCAGGCTGTTCTTCTGAATGTGTTTCTTGAAGCAAACGTAAAAGTCTGTTGCTCTTTCTCATACAGACAACTCATATCTAGAAGAAAAAACAGAAATGTATAATTGATATTTTGACTTTACCTGGTCAAATTTTTACCTGGTAAATTGTTAATAAATGAAATTGCTCTTCTAAATTGATAAAACCTAATTATGGAATCAAATATTCTTAAAGAAATTCACTCTACAATTTGATCGCACTGGGTCTGAATACAAAAACTTTCCTGTATAATTTAGTCGCGCCGGGTCTGACTAGAGAAAATTGAGATTTACACAAACACTCGAAACGACAATTCAGGAAGCTAGAGGAACGCTCATAATTTACAGCGTTGCTACTTTGAAAATATTTTCATAAACAATTTGTGTTGTGCCTGTGAGACTAGCGCCGGGTTAAGGTTATTCATATGAACTTTAGATTGACGATCTGTAGATGTTGTTTTGTTTTGAGTGTTAATATCTTTTATTTTTGTTAATTTATTGAATTTATTTGCTTGTTTCTGTCTTTTATGTTGTTTGACGAATACATCTTGATTTTGTTCAAACAACTCGGGGTTATCGCGATTTTTGTTAATTTTTTTAATACGATTTTCCTTTTCTTTTAATTTGTTTTATTTAATTTTGAGTAGAGTAATTTTGCGCGCTCTTTATGATCATTAATATAATCAATAAGGAGAATTTTGTCAATTTCTATATTAAATGGATCATTATTACTCAAATGACCGTTTATTACATCTATGGGTTTTAATTTTGTTGTGGAGTGTATTGAATGGTTGTATACTAAGATAGCGTAAGACATTTTCATTGTAATTGGGGTTCTGAGGAAACCTTTTGTGTTTAGTAATCGTATATGTTCGATAATAGTCGAATGGAATCTCTCAATTGAACCTTGAGATTGGGGGTGATCTGGACAGCAAAAATGTACTTTAACTTTATTTAAACTTAAAAGTTCCGAGATAACAGAATTTTTGAATTCGGTGCC